CCTCTGCTGTTCTGAATGCCCCTTCCCTGAGCACTTCTCGTTCTGTGCTCCACTTCCCCTGTGCCTCAGGTGTGCCCTTCCCTGCACTCTGCTCACTCCATGCATCTCTTCACCAATGCTCCCCCTACTTTCCCCAGCACTGTACGCCCATTTCCCTGTGCTCCCCCTGCACTGCGTGCCCCTTCCCCATGCTCCCCCCACACTTTGCACCCTTTCCCCATGCGTGCAAAAGGGCGCACAGTGCAGAGGGAACACAGATGAAGGGATATGTGGAGTGAGGGGAGTGCAGGGAAAGGGCATGGGGGAAGGGGTGAGATTCACATGTCCCTTCCCCCCACTCCATTTCCCTGAACCCTCCTCACTCTGCACAGCCTTTCCCCTACAAACCTACCTCTGGTCCTTCCCCTTTGGTTCCCACACACCATATGCCCCTACCCCATGCTCTCCCACTCACCCCCTATCTGCCACATGAACCACCTTAGCCCCCTCTGAAGCTGCAGCAGCTACTTGCTTGGCCTGTACTTGAATATAAGATGAGAGTCCCTCACCCCCCACCATGCTGAATGGAAGAGGGGGAGGAAAAAAAGGTTGTCTTATATTCGAGTAAATACAGTAAGCCATCTGCCATCTTCTTGATTTTGCAACTTTAACATTCTTTTAAGTTTTTTGAATGAAACATAACAAAAATAGTGGCAACCATGAGTGACATAAGCAGTCATTCCAGAATATTCTTCAATAGGGCTGTGTGAAACTTCGGCAGCAATTCGTTTTGGAGGGGTTTCGGCCTGTTTCGGTACCCGAAACACCGAATCCGAAACAAACCGGAAGGTTCGGAAACATCTCCAAAACTTAACGGAACCATCCAAAACGTTTTGGAAATGTTTTGGATGTTTCGGAGGCGGGCTTGCATGGAAACAGAAACTCAGAAGAGAGAGGGGGAAGAAAGTGGGGGGTGGGGAGGACTACTCTGATACTGACATCTGTAGCTGGCCAGTGTCTGTAATCTGTCCCTGAGGTCCCCGAGTGTTCTGGGGGAGGGGCGGCAGCCTGCTGTCATCCCACACACAGATCTAGGGGCCCGCACCCCCTGGGAGGAGTCTGGCACAGCCCCACAGCCCTCCTGGGGGCACAAGCCCCTGGATCTGCATGCAGGATGACAGCATGCTGCCACTGCCGGCTGGGGCTAGCACCAGCTCCCGAGTCTGTTTGGCACAGCCTGAGCCGAGTGCTGGAAAGAACCCATTGCTGGCACTGGCCCCAGCCAGCAGCAGCAGCCTGCTGTCATCCCCCCCCCACAGACCCAGGGGCCCGCGCCCCCTGGGAAGAGTCCAGCACAGCCCTGCAGCCCTCCTTTTAAAGTGCTAGGAGGCTAGGGCAGGGTTGGGGATGGGGCTGGGCAGGGCAGCCATGGGGGCTTCTCCTGCAACTCCCCCCACTGGGGCAAAGGCAGGCACAGCTGGAGGAGCCGTGGGAGAAGTCCTCATAGCTGTCCTATCTGGCCTCACCCCCGCCCGGCCCCAGCCTCCCAGCACTAAAAAGCCCCACACTCACCGGCTGCAGCAGGAGTGATCAGGGCCTCTGAGGGCTTGTGGCAGAGCCCCCCACACAACATGGGGCAGTGTGGGGCAGCGGGGATTGCCCCCCCACCTAGTACCCACACAGCAGCTGCCCCATGGCGTGGGTGCAGCACAGCTCAGCAGGGCGCTGAGCACTGTCTGGGAGCTAGGGCCTCTGGGGCTGAGCAGTGCCAAGCTCCGGCTGACAGGTGGAGCCACCCCAGCTCCCAAACAGCCGAGCAGCGCTGCACCCACGCGAAATGACAGCTGCCGCACGAGCACCAAGCAGGTGGGAGAGATCCCCGCTGCCCCTTCCTGCATGGGGGGCTCTGCCAAAAGCCCTCAGAGGGAATGACAGGGCAGCTATCGGGGCTTCTCCCACAGCTCCCCCCACCCGGGGAGAAGCAGGCACAGCCAGAGGAGCCGCAGGAGAGAACCTACAGCCACCCGGCTATGCTTGCCTCTCCCCAGTTGATCGAATCTCCGAATCAGTGCTGAAACAGCATCAAAACTCAGAAACAGATTCAGCCGAATTGAAATGGAACAGTAATACAAAACACCAAAACAAATCACTGTCCCTCCAAAACGGAAATGAAACACAGCCATTTAGCACAGCCCTACTATTCAAGAAGCTTATTAAATTAGGGGGTTACCAATGATATATCAGTTACGTAAAAAAGAAAACCCTAAAATCCACTAGGAGATGGTTACATTTTAGAGATGGAGCCAACCTGCAGTCAGGAAGACAGACTATAATTTATAACCATAAGGCAGCAACCCCCAAAGTCTCTAGTTAGGCTTAGGGTCCATTATGTCAGGATACTCCTAGAGCAGCTGGGAATTCAGGGGTCAAGATAAGCCAAAATCCAGGGTACAGAGCCCTGTTGCAGACATATATTGGTGGAGGCAAGCAGTGGCTGCCTTCACTCCCATAGCTCACCCTTTTGCTGCTCGCCCCATGGGCTGAGTTTAACCTCCCTGCTTTATCCATTGGTCCAGCACCTAAGAGGACAGCACATAGCGCCCTGTACCCAAGAAGATAAGGACTGTTCTACCTCTAATTTCTGTAACCATGTTGTGCCACAATTTAAAAAGAAAGAGAAGGGTGTTTAGTAGTAGCAGTAAGACTGGAACTCCTAGCCAAAAGAACCAGAAAGGAGCCTGCAGATTCTGAAGCCCTAGAAAAATTGAGTTCTCTGCAGTGAAACAGAAAAGGGAATTTGTCTGGATGTGAAGCAACATTCTCAAAAAAAGAAAGCAATACGTAAATTGGGCATTAATTAGAAGAAAAGAACAGTGCTCCCGTGAATAATTTATGCACAGTACTGGATTCAGTCAGTATGACTATCAGAGGTGGAGGCAAGTCAAGTTTTATACAACTTGAAAGGACATATCAGAATCGGTCCACAAAAATCAGTAAAGAAAAGGATTCTTTATTCTCCAAGTGCGTTTCCCTTCAAGTTCTATATGGTGTGATGGGAATTTTTGGGTTAAATAAGGACACTACCAAGGTATTTTTCATTTCCTTTGCTATCCATTTTTTTTAACTGTAGTTTATACTCTAAGAGAAGATGCATCTCAAAATCATTCCCTCGATAACATTTCTATTTTCCTATACAGAACCTATTATTATTGGCATGGTCAAACATGGCAGCTTCTAACAGTGATATTTGTTCAATCAAGAAATAAAGCTGTGTCATTCGTATCAGGAAGAGACCCAAAAATATAAATAGATTTTGCAAATTTTGGTTAAAAAAAACCCCTAAAAAACCCGCTTCTGACACTGTACATGACACTGTACTGCTCAGTGATAAAAATACAGGAACATAAAACCAAACTGAGATTTTTATAGCATGCTCTAGCAGAAAGAACTCAGCTAAACAAAAAAGAAGTTCCTACCGTAAAAGTCCCAAAAATCAATCAATTCTATTGAATTCCATTGTGGGCTTTTTGTACAAGTTAACCTTTGAATTTTTCAACAAAATATTTCAAAAAGCTAAAAATATTTTAGAAAAATGAACAGAAAGTCTCTGCTTTTCTCTTCAGGAAAGTATTGAAAGATTTTAGCAGTCAGATGTTTCAATAGGGCAAATCAACGCAGGCCCAATGGCTTCAATAGCCAATTTTCCTTTCTGAGGAAACGTTTTACTACCCAGGTTGCAATGCTTTGTAACACTTACAATGGCCATCAAGATGCATATTTATGAAATACATGTGCCCTTACAACATATACCAGGGCTGCACAACCCCTAGGCCGCATCCATCCTCCAGTACCATATCATCCAGCCTGTAGGGCTCCGCACAGATCCTGTAGGGAGCCCTCAGGCTGTGGCCCTGCACACTGTGTCAGGCACAGAGAACAGTGCGGGGCCCCCAGAGCCTGATCCTAGCCAGGCAGTGACAGTGCAGGACCCCAGGTCTGGATCCTAGCTGGTAGGGCTGTGCTAAACTTTGGTAACCGATTCAATTTGGAGGAGATTCAACCTGATTCAGAGACCAAATCTCTGAATCTGAATTGAATAGGGAGACCAATTAAAAGCTCCAAATAGATTCAAAGACTCCAAATCAATTTGGAAAAGCTTTGGAAAATATTCAGCCCATTCGGAGATTTGGCCATAGACTAAACAGGCAGCTGACAGCTGCCTCCAGCTAGTAAGTCTGTTGGGGTTGGGGGAGAGGGGATGGGACTGGGACAAGCTGCCCAGCCATGGCAGGGGAGCGTGGGACTCGGGAAGAGGGACGGGTGGTGCAGGATGCAGGCGTGGCAGTGCACGGAACAGGGGCTCTGCCCTGCTGCCACTTGCCAGCTGTGTGGGGCGCTACCGCCACTTCCCAGCCAGGGTGGGGAGGCATGGGATGCGGGCACGGCAGTGCTGGGAGCAGGAGCTATGTCCTGCTGCCACTTGCTCCCTTCTGCCCATAGTGAGCCATGCCCACATCCCGCGTCCCACCCTGGCTTGCAAGCAGCGGCAGCACCAGGGCAGGGGGGCACAGGATTCAGGGAGGGGATGGGGTGGGGTGGGGTGGGGTGGAGGATGCAGGCCCAGCTCACTCAAGGCAGAAAGGTATGTCCTGCTGCCACTTGCCCGGCAGGGCGGGGGGTGTGGGGAGGGGAGCTATGCGGGAGTGGCTGAAGCAGCATTGAATCTTTCAGATCTGATTCGGCTGATCAGGATAGTGATCCAAATCTCTGCATCAAATCACTGTCCTCCAAATCAGCCGAATCCGAATCAAATACTTGCCACTTCACACAGGCCTACTGGCTAGATGGGAGCCCCATGCCACCTCCACCCAGGTAGCATCATTCATGTGAGTTATCCTATTACCCTTAATAGATTGAAGGGCCTGTGCCAAAACCCACTGAAGTCAGTGGATTTTGTACGGAGCCTTAAAAAAAGCAGAGAGAATTAGGTCTAGAAAGCACAGTTTTTGTTAAATCTTTACCTCAATCTTTTGTGGGCTCAAGCATCCTCCTGAAGTCCGGGGAAGTCCTAACTGTCCAAAAGAGTTAGAACCACAGGATAAAACTTCACCATTTTCTGAAAGATAAAACAACATAAAGAAGCAGAACAAGTCAAAGCATTACAACTCTCAGCAATACAAGTAGCTGAATTAAATGAAAAATATGCCAGATATCAGAGCACAGCATTTAAAAAAAACTGGTCCTCCCTCTTTCAGGAACTGAGTCCACTGCATGGGGTCTATATAAATCATGCTCAGTAAGGGTCTTGAAAGATTACAGGACTAGGGATGGAGAAAACATTCAAGGAATTCAACTTACAAAGCAGAGAGCCTAAAGGATGCAGACAGAAGTGCAGCTCCTGTGTCTAACTCACGGCACTTCACAGAAAGTACCATGATTTAGACCAATCGTCCCAACCCAACAGATCCGGGGGCCCGCACCCCCCTGGGAGGAGTCTGGCACAGCCCCCCAGCCCTCCCAGCGGGTACAGACCCTGGATCTGCATACGGGATGGCAACATGCTGCCTGCTCCAACAAACATTAGGTGTTGGGTCAGAAGAGTGGGGAAATCAAGCTCCAATTTGGGGGGGGGGGGGGCCAAT